CGTTTTGTGATCTGGGGCGTCACACTTCTCATAATAATTAATTGAAAAACTTTGTCACCAGCCACTTCACCTAAAATTGGTCCACCAGACACTTGAAAAGCCTGGAAAATCTAATAGGACAAGACAAATATGATGGTTGTAATTTGTTGTGTTCTTTTTCCTAAATATATATCTTTTAATTTTCCTTTTGTCCGTTTCTGTTTATCTTCATTGAAACATAGATTCTTCGTTCTTGTGTGTGAATCACAGGGCATAAGCATTTTTCCATCCATCAGCTGCATCACAAAAGAAAACAATCAGATATGGAGTCCAAGTATGACAGGAAAAGTGAGTTGAAGGCTTTTGATGACGCAAAAACTGGTGTCAAGGGCCTTGTAGATGCTGCAGTGTCAAAAATCCCACAGATTTTCATTGATAAGCAGCATCAACTTGATGAAAAATCCTATTCAGATCACAGTAAGTTTAGTATTCCAATCATAGATTTAAATGACATTGATCATGATGCAGGAAGACGTCAGGAGGTAATTCAGAAAGTTAAGAATGCCTGTGGGAAATGGGGTTTCTTCCAGATGATTAATCATGGGATTCCTGCAAGAGTTTTGGATGAAATAATTGATGGAATAAGAAGATTTCACGAGCAAGATTCTGAGGTGAAGAAAAAATTTTATACTCGTGATGAAACGAGAAAGGTGATGTACAATACAAATTTTGATTTCCATAAAGCACCATCTGCTAATTGGAGGGATTCGTTGTACTGCCTCATGGCCCCTCATCCTCCCCACCCTGATGAGTTGCCTTCAGTATGCAGGTTTATATATATCTCCTATTGTTAGTTGTTACAACCCTGTTCAATAGGTCTAAATATATATAAGAGTTTGTGTTTCTTTGATATACATAACTGTGTGGTTTGTCAATTTGCAGAAACATATTGATGGAATACTCAGATGAAGTGATGAAACTAGGGCTGACCATTTTCGAATTGATATCGGAAGCTCTAGGTCTCAAGCCCTGCTATCTGAAAGATTTGGGTTGTGCAGAGGGACTTTATGTTATAGGTCATTACTATCCTCCATGCCCTGAGCCAGAATTGACATTAGGTCTGAGCAAACACACTGATAGTGCCTTCCTTACTGTGGTTCAACAAGACCAATTGGGTGGTCTCCAAGTCCTCCATGAGGATCATTGGGTTGATGTTAGTCCCATTCCTGGAGCACTAATAGCAAACCTTGGAGATATGTTTCAGGTAAGGCATTCTATCTCAGATTTACTTAACTAAACCTCAAAATATTAAAATTGTTGGAATCAACTACAAATGTAAATCCCTTTTTCTTCTCTTAGTAGGCTTATATAGAAGAGCTTGATTGAATTATCTAAGTAATTTCAAGAATTGATATGAAACTCAACGCAAACAAGGTCATTCATATACATTCAAGTGAATTATACGAAGCGAATGGTTCTGTTATAGTTTCAAATCTCTGCAATAGTCAAGTAAACAAAGAAATTTGCATATTAAAGGGTAGAAGTCAATGGTTCCGATTGGATCATTTGACTTGTTTTTTTTTTTTTTTTCATTTTTGCAGCTTATATCTAATGACAAGTTCAAAAGCGTGTATCACAGAGTGCTGGCCAAAAACACAGGACCAAGAATCTCAGTGGGCTGTTTTTTCAGAACGCATATGCAGGAAGAGGGTGCGTCTAGGCTCTATGGTCCAATCAAGGAACTGCTATCAGAAGAAAACCCTCCAAAATACAGGGAGACAAGCCTCAGAGAATATGTTGCCTTTGCCTACTCCAAAGGCATTTATGGTGACACTAGAACTAGATTAGATCATTTCAAGTTGTGAACAAGACAAACACTCAAATTGTTTGGTGCGTAGACAGTACGGATTAAACTTGACTGAAGATCATGTAGGACCCTAAGCCCCAATCAGTCTCTGCCCGAGGCATAGCTAATGTTGGGTCCAAATCCAATTCTGACGCACAGTTGTCCCTCTCTTTTTATAATATTTGAATATAGAAAAGAATAAATTTTTTTCCAGATTTTAAAATCAAGGCACCTTTGTACTAAGAGCATGTATTTAAAATGATTAAACGTTAAATCTCAACTATACAATGAATAAAATTTAAGGTGAGTATAAAAATAAATATTGAAAAACTTATTTTTTATGGGGTTTGTTCGTATTTTAATTTTAAATTAATTAAATTTTAAATTTAATGTAACTCTTAAATTTTAAAATTTATAAAAAGATAAAATTTAAATTTAATGTGACTCTTAGATTTTAAAATTTGTAAAAAGATAAAATTTAAATAAAAATTATATTATATTTTATTTACTTTTAAATTATAATTTAAAATTTTTAAATTTTACATTATATACTAAAAAAATAACTCTTGTATATTTATTAACATGTCTTATTTTTAAAATTGCTTAATTTTTATAAAAAAATTACTGCCGATTTCCAGTAAAAAAATGCCTGCCTTAGAGAGAAGAAAAAAAAAAGCCTTTTGGCCGAAACTCGAAAACAGGATTACGCTGCAATTAATAAATTTATCTATAAGTCGTTAATATACAATTACCCAGAAACTCTATCCTGTTTAGCTGTTCACACTGATCGCCCCTTTAGTGGTACTTACTTCTTCGAGGTGTTCTTGCCCCTTTTCCATTCTGCAGTACCACTTATGAATTCTGGGTTTGATAAATTTCTTGCACACCCAGACCAGAATCTCTCTGATCATCTGTTTTAAGTTTCTGGGTTCTGAGCATTCTGCTTCTTTAACTAGGATTGGCTTGATATTGGGGGTGAAAAAAGGTTTTTCCTTTTTCAGTTTCTTGGTGGATGATCTTAGGAGATGAGTAAATTTGTTACCCCGTCAAGAGCGTAAGGATTTCTCCAATTTGGGACAGCCAAAATGAAGGATTTTCCTGGAACACCGGGAACTTTGACTGGGCTTCTTTTGAGGATTTTGCAGTGCCTTTTTGCAGCTGGGTCGATTGCTTCCATGGCTGCCACTTCTAACTTCTTCAATTTTACAGCTTTCTGGTACTTTCTTCATCAATTTGTAATTTTTCCCCTGATTTTGTCTTGTTATCTATCTATTTTGGTAATATTTTTTTTTAATCTGTAAAAAACATTTTTGTTGATGAAATTCATTTGCCTATTACCATTGGTGAGATTTTTTTAAAATTGTTTTTTTAATAACCAGCATTGGTGATTTTCTTTTATTTTAGTGATTGTGACGTTATGCCACTCTTTTAAGGTTCTGCTGCTCATTCCATGTATTGTAGTTCCTGCATTTGCTTTTGTTTCTAAGGTCATATTGAGTTGCAAGTGCCGGCAACTTTTGATTAGCTATAAAAAAGCATGGACGGCCATATTATAGTCAGACATGAGCTGCATTTGGGAGCAACTTTTGGCATTATGTTTCCGTTTTATCCATAGAAGTTCTTGTGATTGATTTGGCCATTCCATGTAAAGAAAACACAATAATTAGATCGCCTTCAAATTGCGGAATGTGTGAGAGGAGAGGTTGGACTGCTTGTTTTTGTGTAAGTTTCGTGAATAGGTTGTACATTTTTGTCATACTTTCATCATGTTGCGCTAGGGAATGGTTGTTAGGCCTTCAGATGTTGAGTTTGGTCCAATAGAGTTACTCAAACATGAGGAAATTGCTCAACTCGTTTGACAAGTTCCTTGGTATCTGTTTAAATAATGACATTTGACATATCTGTTATTTTTTTACCATATTGCTAAGGCTTGATTACTATTGAAGTAGCTGTCTGCTATCTTGACATGGCAATTCTGCTTATTCTTGTATTTTACTGTACTTGCAGGACTGTAGTAGGGCAGGTTATCTAGTATATAGTGGGAAGAATGTGTATATCTAGGTTGGAACTTTTAACTGGACCATTCATAGTTATGGTTTCTCTTTTGGGTGCATTTTCATGTTAGATGTGTAGGCACAAAACATTACAAAAGAATATCCCAACTGACTTGATGAGACTGCAGATTTAAGAGGCCTAGCTGCGGAGGGTTGTAAAGGAGGGACTTCTCCCTAAAGGATGGGAACCATAACTAAACCTTGAGCCTTACATTAACTTTATGATATTTAAGGCTATGTTGGTATTATGGAACCATTCCAGAGTTGATGTAAGCATAACATAGAGGTGTAAGGTTGCTCGTTGAGTCATTCATTTTGAGGTAGGCAGTGGGCATATGGACATGATAAAGAGCTGTATGATTTCAGAAAATTAGCTAACCAGCTCATGAACTGAAGGAGCTCTAACATTTAAAATATCTGCTGCAAGTGGTTCAGCCACTAAGAACACAGAATTTTATCTATCACAACCACTAAAGCTCTACTTCCTTGCTGAAGTTGTAGTTGGCCTACTCTTCATGGAGGCATGAAAAGTGCTACTATTTGTGGTTGTCATCTTATTACCTGTCAGTAATGACGCTGAGGACACTGAATCCATATCTATTTGTGTCTGTAGTTGTTGTTAGTTGTTTTTTCTTTTTTTTGTCATATTGTCTGTAGTTACTCATTTATTTGTAAAGTATTCTGCATAGACTAATTCTTCAATAGAAAAGTGTCAATCACGAAGTGTTCTTTAATTGAGAAGCCTCAAATTATCTTCCACGCATCATAAATACTGACTTGGCTGGACGGTAGCAACTCATTATGTCTTAAATAGAAATTTTAAAGAATTTATGCCAAACCTTACCTTATTTCTGCAGCTATCTGATTGCTTCAATGGGTTTGCAAGTGATTTGGAGCTTTGGTCTTGCAATGTTGGATGCAGTTGCCTTGGCAAAAAGGAAGGTCCTCCACAATCCTGTTTTAGTCAGTCTCTTTGTTGTGGGAGACTGGGTAAGCCTGTTGCAACCTACAATCCTACCTGTCTGTTTTATGAAATCCAAACGCTCTTGGTATCTGTGGTTGATGTGAAAAAATTTCTCCATTCTTTATTAAACTGACTGCAGGTGACGGGTACATTGTCTCTAGCAGCAGCCTCTGCCTCAGCAGGCATCGCTGTGCTGTACTTCAATGACTTGGGAAGTTGCAAATTTGGACAGGAATGCCAAAAGTATCAATTGTCGGTTGCCTTGGCTGTCCTTGGTTGGATATCAATTGCAATATCATCCTTAATTATGCTTTGGCTATTGGCTGCAGGGTAGATTTACTATTTGTTATACTGTACAGGCTTGTTTGATTTCTTCCTCCCTTATGTAATCCTACTAGTCTCAGAAATTTTGATCTTCTTGTGGTGTGCCTATAGAATAGGATAGGCAAAATTAAACGTAGTGTTATATATACAAAGATCACTCTCATGAATCATTCCCTCGTCTAGAATTTGATTTTTGTTTCTTATGGTAGCTTGAATTAAACTTTGCTCCTCTGAATTTGTGAGGCAAAAGAACTGCAACTATTTATAATTTAGCAGAAGAATGGTTAATGAATTGACACAGCGTGAAAATTTTGCCATGGTCATGCGGTGTGAAATCTACTTAATATGAGGCTTCAAACTATGACTACAAGAACTGTGTGTTTGTGGCAAAAATTTTGACGCTACAGACACAGTGTTCTTTTGTGCTTGAGGGAAATGATGGAGAAGGAAAGGAAAATGATTTTTGTCTAATTGAAAGAGGATTTTTGTCAAACAAAAAGGTGGTTGATATGATAAGGGATGAATTTCTTGATATTAAGATAATTTTTTCTTTATTAAAGGTTATTAAATGTGTAATTTGTTTGAGAATGTCCTCATACCTTAATAGTCACATTTTTCTGATAAAAGATATCTCATGTAAATTTTAGTAAGCGTAAAATTCGAATCTTACTTCAAATGTTATAAACTCAAAACTCGACGTTAAATATATATATATATAGTTTGTTTGGAATAAATTATTAATCTTTAATCTCAAAATGTTATGATGGAAGGAAATTCCTTTTCTTTCATTTATTTCTGTCATTTTCATCAAATCAAACACGCAAAAAGGGTTATGAGAACCTAACATCAATAAATGGAAATGACCTCATTCCATTGTCTTTTTCATATTTTTTCAATGAAAAAGAGTCGAAGAATATCATGAAAATGAAGTTAAAATACCAATATACACATGCGAATTCCCCTCCCATCCTGTGGTATGTTAAACTGATAAAAACTTTAAGGGCGAGTTTGGCATGCAAAGAAAACTTTCCTCCTTACCCAAGAAAGTTTAGGGGTACTTAAAATTTTTATGCCTTAATATTACAATAAATAAAGACTTAAAATTAAAATTTTTAATTTTTATTTTTCCTAACATAATTCTTAATGAACAATACTTTCTTTCCACATTTAAAAAAAAAAAAAAAAAAAAAAACCTTTTCTCAAACATTTTTTAAGGTAAGAGTCACTTGACAAATTTCTTCACACTTTTCTAATATCAACTTCTTATCAAACTTATAAAAATTAAAATTCCAATAAAAGTTTAACAAAATTTCATTGTAAAATTTATCGACTTTTCATACTCCATACAATATTTTTCCAATTATTTTTAAAATAAAATTTACCTCTGACGTAACAAACACTAAAATTCTAAGTTTAGAAAGTACCCTCCTGCAAGTATACACTAATTCAAGATCACTCATCATCGTTACCACAAGTGTTGGTAGAGGTGGCAAAAATCAACTCGACCCGTCAATCCGACCCTAACTCAACTCATAAAAATGAGTTAAGATTTATATATCTCAACTCGCAACCCATAAATAACTCATAATATCAATCCATACGAATCACAGGTCGAGTTAGAGTCAATTCACAGATTGACAAGTTGACCCATTTACTTTAGTTTTTATTTAAAAAAAAAAAATACTATACGTATTATTTTTAACTAATTTTCTTATTGATAACTCTTTCCATTAATTCATACTCTTCACCCTAATTTTCATTACTCAATTAGTTTTGAACTTATTTTAAGTGTTTACTCATCATTACTTCTTCTTTCTCTAAAAATTATGTGGGTTTGATCTAATTATTAAATATCATGAATTAAATGATAATACAACTAAAAATACTAAAGATGTGATGTCAGGATATAAACATAATAATTTAGTGAAAAATATTCTTGGAAGAGCAATTTTATCATTTAAAAAAGGGCTTAAACTCTTTGATAATATTTCAAAATGATTGTAAAATTAAAACTTTATTTTTAAAGAAATTTAAATATTTTAAGTTTAATATTGTTAATCAATTTACTGTTATTATAACTTTATGATTTTTTCTTAATTTAAATATTTATGGTGAAGACTATAAAATGCTTAGTGTTAATACGTTACGATACTTTAATTAGATTTAGATATATATATATATAATTTTATTTGTATATAATAAAATTAATAAAAATAATTATAAAAAAAAGGTCAACATATGAATTAAGCCGTAATCCATTAAGATCAAGTTAATATTAAATTTTTTCAAGTTAAAATTAAATTTTTTTAATCTATAACTCGTTTACAATCCAACCCGTATAACTCCTCACCTGACCCAACCCGCCTATTTGCTAGTTCTAAGCGTTGGAGTATCTTGAAAGTATACAACTCCGGCTTCTCGAACTAATATCCTTTGTTTTGTTCCGCAAGACTCTCTGAGGAAGCTCAATTTCCACTACATAACAACAAGAATTAAAGAAGGATAAAACGAAAACGAAAATCATATGATAGAGTTTTAAAAATGTGAAACTTTGTTGTGTTATGAGAATATGTGTGACGTGCAGTGTTCTAAAATGCGTGCCTAGGCGACGCCTAGGTTATAAGTGATGTCTTTCTGCCTACATCAGTCTAAAATTTAAGGGATGTCATTTCGTTCATAGAGATTTAATGTGATTTATATCATTTAAATCAATTAAGTATATTTAGGTATTATTAAGTATGTTTAATGACACTTAAAGTGGTTGAGTAAATATTTTTTATTAATTTTTTAATTTAATAAAATAATATTATTTAATTTATTATAAAAATTATATTAAAAAACATTAACGACAAATAATTTCTTTAAATTTTACTCTTTAAACATAACAATGAATAGAACAATGTTTTTTTTTGTTTTATAATTTTTAAAATTATTTTATATATTTTTTATTCTCTTAAAATTATATCAAAAAATTATTATAAAAAAAAACTACTTAAATCATCTAAGCACCACCTATGCACTCTAGATACTATGTTCTAGACTCTAAACTCTAAACGGTAGACAATTGTTTCCCATTACTTAACTCATTTTACAACCTTCGTGACGTACCATCAATATCCACATTAAATGGATCATTGTTAATGGGACGATGAGGATGACATCTCATGTGTCATTAATGAAGTGTTGAAAACACATCTGCACTAGTGTAGATCCTATATTTGTTGGAACTTAAACAGGACTTGGATTGGACCCCCATACCTCCATAGACTATACTTATATTGAAGTTGAACTCTCCCGCTGTAGTAATGTCCACAAGGCATGATGTTAAGATCACATAATTT